TTATAGGGCAGTATGCCCTCCAGCTACCGCGTCTGCTATCCAGACCCTTCGCCACAAACCTTAAATTTCAAACAAGGTAGTACTGTCCATTGTCTTTTCCGTTCCTCTATATACGTCTTCATCCCAACATTTCCTCCAAAGGGCCAACAGCGCAGTAATGCCCCGGACTGACCGACTCTGCCGAGTTCTGGGAGCCGGCCTCTACCCACCAAACATGGAACCCGGCTAGGTCTTAGTCGGAACCTTTGTGCATCCATATTTGCTTGGGGAAGGGTCGTGGCGCTGCAGAACCCATGCAATTCTTGCGTCACGCTAAGGTCTCTAGTTTCCTGGGTTTTGTAATCGTTTCGGAACCTTTTGGTGGTGCGCTCCATCAGCAACCGCCGGCCTGGAAGTATTTCTGCAAATTGTGCTTGGAGAACATCTGCTTGCAAATCTTCTCGGTTAGCTGCCGCAGCCTGGCAGAATTCGCAAGGGTTTAGGACTTGCAGCGTTTCAAGGCTTAGGGGGTTCTGCCAGTGGGGTTTTAGGTTTCGGGGTTTAGGGTTTGGATGGGCTTGGGGGTATATGAGCCATTGTCTAAACTCCTAGTATCCCCCTTAATAACCCCTATAGTAGCCCCCTTTTTTTTATTCCCTTATATAACCCCCCCTTTAAGGAGTTTAGACTATAGCTCATATGGGTCTAGTGCTGAGGGTTACGTGGCAGCCTTTGTTACAGGCTTCCTCGATTGAATGCTCCACCGTCTTTTGCCTCATGAGATTGGGGTTTAGGGTTTAGGGTTTAGGGTGAAAGAAACAACTTGCCACCGGCAGGTCAGCAAAGCACATAAAAATCATACTTTTCAATACAACCTCCACGGTTTTATAAGGGTATATGTGTGTATATACCAATAATAATACTCATGGGCGAAGAAATCTCAAAACTGGATCATTTTGCTTCACATGCGGATCAATTAGGAAGGTTTGAGCACCAGCAGCCACAAGATTCCTAATTGGGTCTCCCTAAGCCCTAAGCATGCTCATGGATATCCACAGATTACTGCTACTACTATGACTCTGACTATTAGTGCTATTACTACTATTTACCCAGAGGGTCCAGTTACTGCGTATTTGTGGAATCAGGTAGAATTCTTCACAAACAGGGTCTTTGTCGCATTTGTGTACTTTCCAGCGTAAAGCAGCAAATACGTACTTTTCATGTGCATGGGACCATGAATGTGTGGATATTGAAGAAGTTGCTACCGCTTTGTGTGTTTCGTGCTGGTCTTGGAACTTCCGAAGCCCTTGAGTGGCGATCAAGTAGAAGCCCAAATGCCCAGCCGCCACTCCATTGCACGATATTGATTGTCTGCACTCAAAGCACACGGAACACCTGAACGCCGCACAGGTTTATGCCATTCCATGACTTGTCAGATCCACCCGCTATCCACAATCTTTGACCACCATGCATCGAAGATTCAAACTCCAAAGCGTGCTTGGCTCTACAAACCCTGTGCGTAAAGACACACATGGGCTTGCTGAAAGCATTTGGAGGGTCTTCTGAGGGAAAATTACGAATCATTCCGAACCTTGTGCCAGATGGCTTAGAGTCACTTGCTTCCTTGCCAGGGTAGGAAACCCGAAACCATGCATTTCAGGCGCGTAGGGCTACTCGAAAATCATGTTTTGAATATTTGTGAAGGGAAGTCGTGTTTGTTGCGGCTGTCTGCGCGCTAGCTCTTCCAGATCTGAGCCTTGCATGCGAATCTTGCAGGCCTCCAAATGCAACTGCTTCGCGGTGTTTTGATCTTTCGCGCTCGGGGCAAATAAAACCGCTGAAGGCTGGTTTGATCATCTTTCCCGTTCAGGCCGGTTCCATCCCCTATCCACATTCATTGCTCCGTGATTGTATTTTTCTGATTTCCGTCAAGAAACCTCTCACCGCTGCATGCGTGCTTAGACGTGCTTACGCGTTCTTACGCGTGCTAAAGGCCCCGAAAAAACACAAATAGCAGGTAATTGGCGTGCTTAGGCGTGCTTAGGAAAAAGTTGCGTCGAGCTCTGTCCCGAGAGCCTTTGGGAAGGTCGCGATACGATCCCATCGGCTCCATGATTCAAATATCTGGCTCCCAAACCAGAACCGTTTGACTTGGGTCGCTTATGTTTGGTTTCCTTGCGCGCGGCTTTTATGGATAGAGGGCTCCACCCATCAAGAATCAGAGCGCTGCATTTGATGATCTGACTGTTTCGGTCCTAACAAATTGGGTCCTGTTAAAGATTGAGCGGCCGTCGCTGATATCCCCTGGCTTTCAAAGCCACGCTCGTGCAAGCCTGTTCTCGTAAAAGTGAATGTTTCCGCGTACGGCTTTACGGATCCAAACAAACGCTGCGCGGAAATGGAATTAATGAGGACCTGCAGTACCCAAAAAACAAAAAAATCATGCTACCATGTTGAGGCGTGCTTACGAGCCAGGTGCTTGCGTTGCGCAGAAAACATGTTGGCTAGTCAGGATGTCAGGATTCCTTCCACTGGCTAGGTTTACCGAAGTGCGGCAAACACATCAATACTTTTCTATATCGGAAGCATTTCGGCTGGGCCTCTCTTGCGTAAGTTGACTTTTGGACGGGGAACGGGATTGGATGAGCGTGCTGCATCTGATCTTCAGAACAACTTGGTCAGCGAATGGAGAAATCCTGTGTGAGGTCCTGCAAGCCTTCAACGCCCAGGTCTGGGGCTGCATACAACAGTGGCTTACGAAAGCTGGACTTTCGTAAAACGGAAAACTTGCTATTTATGGTTTTACGCGACAAAAACTCCGCCAGTGAGTACCCAGGCTTCTGATTCCAGATCTGTGATGCAACTAGGACCCTCTGGGTTATATTCTGATTATTATTGCTTCTTTTGTTATTCCCTGTAGCTGGATCCCACGGATACGGAAAAGGGAGGCCCACTCTTTCAAAAGTCTAAGTTGGGAATCAATGGTTAACATGGCCAAGCGGCGTTGCAATGTTCCAGCGACATCCAGCGATCAAGACTTCATGGGCTAATCGCCCTTTCTTATTTGGACTGAAAATGACTCACAGTTTTACCCTAAACCCTAAACCCTAAACCCTAAACCCTAAATCCCTCCTAGCTAACTGGAGGAGCCCTCCCCATGGTTCTGGTACAAGACTGGAACACTGCAAGCCCAATCAAACCAATCAGCTGGGTTGCTGTAAGGAACTAAAGCTCAGTTACCACAATGTGGGTATATGGGTTGCTCTCAGTATAGATTGTATAACTGCACTTAATGTTTAGGGGTACCAAAAATGGGACCCTAATTGTGGGAACTACCCATATAGTAATTATGGTAGCCTTAACAGCAAGCCAGCCAGTCAAAAGGCCCATTCTGAGCCGGCAGCTTCTTGAGGTCGGCCATGGACACCAACCGGTCGCCGTAAATGCGTTCGCTTTCGTGAATCCTTCCAGCCACAGCCCTAGGATCCATGTACACAAATAATTCCTACATTGGGCCCTATACTAAAGTCTGTAAATATTGCCTACATTGGGCTATTTGGATCCCTAGGGCAGGGCTTGCCCCCTCCCACAGACATGTAGAGAAAGTTCTTCCTTGCATGTGAAGAATACGGAAAAGCGTTTTTGTGTTGGTGTTGAGAAGCTCTCATATGACTGCGTGGATTCCGGTAGCGTTAACGTCGTAATCCGAGGACTAGTCTAATAAAAGGGACCATATTTAAAGAAGTTTTATTGGGCGGAATTAGGCTCCAAAGACTCGCTACAATTAGGTGGCTTTTCGCATGGTGAAAAGGGACCACGTTTAAAGAACAATTCTGGGGAACCCATCCTAATAGTAGATTTAAGCAAGCAGGGCAAAACACATTGACTGCAAAAATACTGGCGTCAAACCATTCCTATTCTCTTTTGATAGAGATCCAGGAGCTTCAATCATTCGTTGAAATATGACGCCATCATTCTTTAATTCTGGCGGGGGGGACCCCCCAAGTTAAACAAGTCCTGGGATTAAGGGTGATGCAGGATGACATGCATCCATAGCATTGCTCGATACAGACATGAGCAAATATGAGCAGCCATGCATCAGATCTTACTTTAGTTGCTTCACCAACCACTAGCATCAGCGTGAGAGGGACACAGAAGGGGCCCTGAGAGGGGACAGGCTACATCCTTCTGTTCAAGGGGCTAGGGTTTTGGACATTTTGGAAACTCCTGTAGTATATTGGGATTATACAGGGATAATAGAAAACAAAATGGAAACTACTATATTATAACAGGTTATATATTGGGTGTATATGGGAGCTGGTTCTTGCCAAAAACATTCGAAATCAAATGCCCGCCACGCAAAGCGATGTCGAGGCGCTGGCCACAACAAAACCAGCTTCTCTGCATCCATGAACTCGCTGGGCTTGGCCTACGGCTCTCGGGCTTAGGGTTTTGTAGATTCGGTCTCCCAGCCTGTAAGCATTCAATTGCATCCAGACATGACGCCGCTCCCTGTGTGCTGAACAGGACTGAAACAGAAAGCTGTTGGCTTCTGACAGCGAAGATTGGGATATATACCGCAGGGATACTAAGCTCTTGTGTCAGAGGCTCCAAAAAAAGGAAGTAAATCCTAAGCCCTAAACCCTAAACCTAAATCCTAAACAGCCTTGGAAGAGACCCCCTAACACCTCCTTACAATCTTCGAACATCTCTTGGGTGTGTAGGACCCCCCTCCCGCTTCCAAAAACGCTACAACACTAAGCCCCGCCTGGAGCCCTGATAACATGGCCCTAAACCCTAATCCTATAGTTGCCCTTAAGTAGATAGAATATGGCTTTGGGTCTACTAGAATAAGATCCCCATATTCCCCATATTCTATCTACTTAAGGGACTATAAACCTAAAAGCCCTAGAATCTGAAGCCTTATAAACACAAAGTCCCAGATCAGTTACTGAGCATACCATGCAACTGGGTTGCTGTTAAGGAACTTAAGCTAAGTTACTATATTGGGGGAACCCCTATTATTTACTATATATACCCATTATGGTAACTAAATTTAAGTTCCTTAGCAGCCACCTGGGCAAGTGGAGAGCCTTGAGGAGGCCTGAGAATACCCCGCTCATGTGACGGATGTTGAACCTTGGGGTGTCAGGCTTTGGAGGGGGGGGTATGTTGGGGTTTTATGAGATTGGGGTTATATGGAGGTTATATGGGGGTTATATTGGGGGTATAT